TTTTGGACCCAGCAAAAAACACATCAGCCAACCTCAATAATATAAATAACACCAGGCTTTATTTATCATTTAGCTGTATAAATATCTTACTTTTGCACATTGTAGTATCTACATGCCATAGCCCAAACTGCCCTGAATTTCCAGGGCTGGCTGTTTTATGGTTCCAAAGGCAGGACTTGGAGCTTTGACAAGAACATTCTTGATTTCTCCCCAAACCTGTGCAGATAGAAGTTTTTGCAGGTGGGGATGAGGGATTGTAAAGCTGTGGGCTGCCCAGGCAGGGAACCTTCCCTTCTCACCTCCTTCCAGGGAATGAGAGCATCCATCATTATTCATGGGGCTGAAGCCACACAGAAGGTTATAATTTGACAATAAAAAAAAGAAGCCAAGAAATTCAGCCAATCACCTGAGCAAATCAGCTTTTACCTGATTTTCAGATTTACCTACTCAGCTGGGAAAAATACAAATCCAACAATTCAATTTGGGTTGTCCAGCCTGGAGAAAAGAAGTCTGTGGGGAGATCTCAGAGTTCCTTCCAGAGCCTGAAGGGGCTCCAGGAGAGCTGGAGAAGGATTGTGGACAAGGGATGGAGGGACAGGACACAGGGAATGGCTCCCACTGCCAGAGGGCAGGGATGGATGGGATATTGGGAAGAATCCTTCCCCGTGAGGGTGATGAGGTCCTGGCACAGTTGTCCACAGAGGATGTGGCTGTCTCTGAGTCCCTGGAAATGTCCAAGGCCAGGCTGGACGGGGCTGGAGCAGCCTGTGGGAGGTGGCCCTGCCCATGGCAGGAGGGGCAGAATGGGATGATCTGTAAGATCTCTTCCAGCCCAAACCACTCCATGATTCCATAGTGTGGGGGATGCTGGAAGGCATTTGGACCCTCTGGAGCCCCTCATGCTGCCGAGCCCCGAGTCTGGCTCTGGAGTGGCCCTGCAGAAAACACGGGCAGAGCTCAGACAGGGAGCCTGAAGTGCTCCGTGTATTTTCTTTTTCCTCACTGCAGAAGCAGCCCCGTGGCTGTTACTCGAGAAGCTCTTTGGTAACATTAAACACTAATGAACTGCAGAATTTGCCCACACACATCCCAGGGTGTGTAGATGCTCCGAGGGCCTCCTTAGCCGGCGAGGTTTCCCTGGCAGCCCGGAGCTGCGAGCGTCGCTCCCTTGGGACAGGTTTTCAAAGGGTCCATCCACACAGGGCAGCTTTCTGACTTGTCTGATCCCCAGTGGTCACACAGAAGTCAGATTTAAACATCTTCTCTATTTCCACATGCCAGAGTCTGCTGAGGAGCCCAGGAATCCTTACACGGCCTCCCTTGATAAAATTATGATCGTGTCCGTCCTCTTTCATTTACTCACTCCTGCTGCCGAGAATTAATTTTAGACTCTGCTGGCTTTTGTCAGTAGATCTCAGGATATATAATCTATGCTTTATTTTATTTTGTGCTCATCTGGGCAGTAGCTGGAGTGTATAAAATGGGGTCTCCTGGAACAACTTTATTGCTTCAGCCTCTTCCTTGAATGAGTTTTTGGCGCAAGTATAATTTTTCCCTCGTCTCCGACAGAAAGCAATTTCCTTTTTCCCCTGCACGTCCTTCAGGCTCTGGTGATTCTGCCCTGCAGAAAACCAACTTTGTTGACCCCTTCTTGCTTCTGGGGGTGGCCAATTGTCCTCACCTGAGCACCCCAGCCCAGCACATCCTCTCTGATAGCAGCAGGCAGAACCCCTGCCCCACTGAGGGATTATTTGATCTCTTTCTGGGGTGACGTCAAAGAGCTAAGGGAGGATTGTTATGGTTCCTTCACCTCTTGAAATTGATCCTCTCGGTGAGGAAATGATGAAATTGGAATGGGAAAAGCTGGGATGCTGACAGGACTTTGACAGCTGTAACTTTTATTTAGCTGGTTGTCTTGCTCGCAGCGTTACTGATGTGTTACCAACCTCGAGCCAAGGGGAGTGACAAAGCAAGGGAAAGGTACCGTCTTCATTTTTTTCCTCCCTTTTTCTTTCACTTTAGGAAAGTGAAAAGTGAATTTAAAGATACAAGAAGTATCTTTTAATCTCTACTGGACATACCTGTGTTTATATCTGAGGTTCTTTTTTTTTTTTCCTTTAAGAAGAATTTGATGTTTTCACAAAGAATTTTCTGGGTTGGTGGAAGTGTTGCACAGCAGAAATGTCTGAGCCCTAACATTGTGAGAGGTGAAGGGTTTGCCTCATAAGCCTTCTCCTTTAGATTTTTAGTGGGCAAAAGGCAGGAAGTTTCTCTTGATTTAAATGAGAAATACCAAATTTCTTCTGCTTATAAGAAGAATTATTTGGAAGCTGTGTTGCAGCCTGATACAGAACTTCCAGAAAAATAGTGTCAGGAATGGTTTGGTCTTTTCAGCTTTGTTTTCACTGTGTGTGTAGGCTGGAGGTTTGGAAATGCCTCTTTTACTTTCATGAGGAAGACTCAGAGGATTTTATTCTCCAATACAGTTTCCACTGTGTTCATGGGAAAAGATTTGTTTTGCTAAGCAGAGTATAAACACAGCACTGTGGCAGATCCCTCTAAAAATTGGTTCAAGTCAATACTGATCTGCTTTTCCCACATTCTTACTTGAAAATATTTTTGCTGATTCCTCTGGCATCTCTCTAAACCTAAAGAATTACAAATGAGAGAAGCATTTGCCCCCCCTGAGCTTCATGTGCCACATCCTGCTCCAGCAGCACTAAACTTCCCAAACACAAAGAGAAGAAATATCGGAGAATGGAGAGCTCTAGCTTCAGATGAAGAGGTTGGAATAATTTAGGATAATATAATTTAGTTTGTTTTGAATTACTTTAAAATCAGAAAGCCTGGGAGAAGTTCTCCATGTACCAGTTTCTGGTCACAGTCTATGTAAATCTGGAAGGGAGCCATGAGCTGGAGGAGAGCTCTGGTGTACATTTGTATTACTGAAAGCAGATGTGGGCTTAGGGCTCCAGCCAAAATTTCAGAGTAGGAAAAAAATGATCTGTCCTCAATTCCTCATCGGTCAGAAAGGATGGGATGAATCAATACCGGTGCATTAGTGCTGGGGAGATGGCTTTCAGGCCTGACATGTCTGATAGAGATGCTAGTTCAGTCTGGAAGTGATAAGAAAATCAAACTGCTGCTGCCTGCGTGCAGCTGTGTGCCCGCTGCTCTCCTGGAAGGAAAACTGCAGCTCCCTGGGCTCGAGGATGGTGTTGTGAGCCCTTATGATTACAGCAGGATTTGTTAATGGTCACTCAGAGAAGCTCAGCTGGTTTCTCCCAGCCCTCTGTGCCACGCTGCTCCCCAGGCTCCGTGTCCTCCTCCGAGCATCGCTCCAGAGGTGTTTGTGTCACACAGGTGAGGCTGGGCAGCCCTGGGACAAACAGGACTGTGGGGAGCTCGAGTCCCCCCCAACAGTACAATTGTGATACACTCAATATTGGCCCTGGCACAGGTGCCCAGAGCAGCTGGGGCTGCCCCTGGATCCCTGGCAGTGTCCAAGGCCAGGTTGGACAGGGCTTGGAGCAGCCTGGGACAGTGGGAGGTGTCCCTGCCCATGGTAGGGGGTGGAATGGGATGAGCTTTAAGATCCCCTCCAATCCAATTCCATGGTTCATTGTGTGATTCTGATTTATGGTGTGGTTCAAAATGGACCCTCCATCAGAGTGAGCCTCAAACCCCTTTCCTATTAGCAGGAGGTGCAGGAACACCCTGAGCACTGGGAATCCTCCCAGTCCCCTCACCAAGGGCATTTCCAGGCACAGATTTTATTTTTTATATTTTAATGAAAAATAAACCCTCTCAGCAAGGAGGATTCTGCTCTTTCCCTCCTGCATAACTGTGATTTGTTATGGCCCTTTTGTCTGGGGAAGATTTGCTCCTCAATGAGTGGTTTCTGGCTAATCTTTACTACTTCAAATTTTGTGGTAAGATCTTCTTTAGACAGAACTAGGTCGAGTATATTTCAATTGCCTCGTGTTCTTAAGATCAGTCTGTCAGAGAGTCCTAAATAACACATTGCTTTATTCATAAACAGCCTGAGCAAGCCAGGATTTGCAGCACGTTCAGGGTGTGACAGTGATGTGTTACTCTGAGCTTATCAAAGGGCTCCACTGCCTGAGCCACCAGCAGAAAGAAAATATACTGAAGAATTATTTGGACCTCATTTATTTAATGAGCCAGCAGTAAAAATGATTCCTCCAAACTCAGGATGGTTGAAAAGCAAATCGCAGAGCAGATTTTTCAAATCCGTAGCAGTCCAGAGCTTTTCATTGGGTGGAAAGAAATGTGACCATTGGAAATAAATGTGACCATTGGTCCATATATAAATTGCAGCTTCCTAAAGTGTATGAAATTGCAGGGGGATTTCTGTGGGCTGTGGAGGTGGTGATTTCTGACTGGGAGCAGAATCTCATATAATACCTGGGGTTTGAACCCACGAAGGAGAATTTAAAAGATTAACAGTGATTCAAATACCAATAATCACAAAGAAAGAAAATGAGTAATATTTTAGTTGTTGCTCTGACTCACTCCTATTCTAGCTAATAAAAAGCCATTTTTTCCAGCTTGTGTCCTTTGTGCTGTCTGGAGTTGTGGGTCCCTGCACATCAGAGGGAGCAGGTCTCTGGGCTGGGAGTTAAGAGAATGACAGTATTTTTTTCTTATTTTCACTTTAGCCATGACTTGTTACTTGAGATTAGAAACATAATCATAGAGTCCTGGAATGATTTGGAAGCTTAAACACAGCCTCATTCCCACCCTGCCACAAGCAGGGACACTTTTCACTGGACCAGGTTGCTCAGGGCCTCGTCCCCATGTCTGTCTGACGCCTTTGCTGGTTCTCCCAGGGGAATCCAGGGAAGGAAACGGGATCATTTATTTCCATCTACACTTCTCCAGAGCAAATGGCACTCATCTCAAACTGGAAAAATTATGTTGGCTTCCTCCAGCATGGTTTCATTCCTGCTTCTTGCTTTCCCTCTCTGTCTCCCCAGCTGTTGAATCGCTGCATTCCTTGAATGACCAGATCTCCCATTTCATCGTCAACAAGTCAAAAACCCTGGATGAGGATGAAGATGCCTTTTTGCCCAGTGAGAAGGAATCTCTGAAAAGTGCCATGATGCTGATGAGGCACCTCCTGATGGATGCACAGGTAGGAAATCAGCACACACACGTGTGTCAGGACGTGGGGAAGGCACATTACATGGATCTGAAGGAATGTGTCTTTTTTACGTGCAATTTTAGCAGTGGAGAACATTAATTGCTGACTCTAAAACTCATTTTGACTTCTGAAATCTGCAGCTGTGGGAAGAACAGCTCAGTGCACAGAGATGTGCAGCTTGTGCTGGGGCTGAGCCTCAGATTCAGGGTTAAAAATGGTTCTTAATTTTAGGAGAAAATACAGCAATGTACCCACTGATGGGGATACAGCAATAACCCCATTGATGGGAATCCAGCATCAGCACTACCAAAAGAAAATCATCTGTCCACTGAGCATCTGTGCTGAATGTCAGTTTTAGGAGTGCCAGACAACTGAGCTGTTGGTTTAGCCAAGCTCTAAAATGCCAGTTAAAAGTCATGAAATGATGTGCAGATGTTTCTTTGCGCCTTTGCTGCTTCGACAAAAAAATCTCTTTCTCTGTAGCTTTGCTGTGTTTAAGTGTTTCCTTCAGCCTACAAAAACCACCCTTTGAAATATTAATTGTATTTATCTTTTTATATTCCCTTTTGGTCTTTATTTGCAAAGCCTAAATGGAAAAGAGCTTCTGTCAGAGAACTCTTTTGAAACCTGGTGGTCTCCTCTCCCTTCTACTCTGGCAAGCCCTAAAATCAGGCAAAGGAGGCTTGAGGCTGTCCTGAGATCTTCTGAGCTCTCCAGGACTGGGGATGGCCTGTTCTAATTCCATGTTCTCCCAGCTGGAGTCTGGTGGTTGTCTTATTTGATCTGTTTCTCTCACTTTCTACACCTTTGGTCCTGATTCCTTTGGCTGGCAGGGATCCAGCTGCACATGGGGAGTGGCCTGGGGATCCCTGCTGTTTTAGGCACAGGTGTTTTAATAAATATTTTGTGTTTTCCCAGGCTTTGGAGCACACAGGGAGCAAACCCTTCCTGCTGTGCTCAGGGTTTCATCTCTGTGAGGATGGGGCTGATCTCACTTTGGCACATCTTTAACCAAGTCACCTCCATTTACCCCAAACCACCAGAGTTAATGCTGCTGATGGAGAGCACAAGGGTGGTTTTGGATCTGCTCCCACCAGTGGGAAGAGATCCTGTAGATTCCCCTGCAGGTGGGAATAAAATCACAGAATCCCAGAATTCCACAGAATCCATGGAAATCCATGGAATCCTCACAGTGCAAGGCTCTGTACAAAGATAAGCTGAAATCCAGTGCTTGGCCCATTGATTCCCCTCTCCTGGCACGGACCTGATTTTGACTGGTGGATAATTTGAGGAGAGAACATCCAGCTTGAAATTTTGGGCAGAAAGTTTGGGCTGAAAGAGACCTTAAAGCCCATCCCATTTCACCCCCTACCCTGGGCAGGGACACTTTCCACTGGACCAGGCTGCTCCAGGTATTTGGAATTCCTCTGGGGAGTCAGGCATGAGATGCTTACAGTTATCTGCATGTGGCAGATAATAATAAATATGGGGCAAAAAGGTACCTATTGATAATCCCCTTGTGCAGGAATTCTATTCTTAGCACCCAAGAATTGCTTTCCTACTTATCAGCTGTCCTGAATGCATATTAATTGGTGCCTGTGATAGAGAGGCTGATTAGGAAATGCTAAGAACAATGAGGAAATGTCAAGTGCTCCTGTATCCTCATGATGCACCTGGATCCCTTCCCAGAAAGGACAGGATGTTTTTCTGCCTGGGATTTTCAAGTTGGAAGAATGACAAGGTGGGAAGTGGCAGTGGTGAGTAGAAGGATGGAAGTTAACAGGTGATAACATCCAGGGGAAAAAAAAAAAAATCCCAATAAAATAAATCCTCTGAGGAATGAAAGAAACATGAGGCTGGCAGGAATATCAACAGGAATATCCCCAGCAGTGTGTGAATATAAACACGTGCTAACCCTGACTGCAGAGTGCCCTGTGGCTCTAATCACACAGGAGGAAAAAATATCACCAATGCAATTATTTCCCTTCCCTCTTTGCTTCCCAGTTAGTGGTTTTGTGGGAAGATGGAGCCCTGGAGCTCTAAGCAGTATTGATTGTGTGAGGCACTGTACAAAGATAAGCTGAAATCCAGTGCTTGGCACTTTGACTCCCCTCTCTTGCCATGGACCTGATTTTGACTGGTAGATAATTTGAGGAGAGAGGATCCAACTTGAAATTTTGGGTAGAAATCAGCTGGACTGCTAACCCAGCAGGAGTGACTGGTCAGAGGGGACAGTTAATGGGCATTTCTCACTTCTCTGCCACTATTAATCTGCTCTGAGAAGGGAGAGGAGGTGTGGGGGTGATGCCTCCTGCCTGCTGCCTTTATTGGACACATTTTTGGAACTCTGCTTGGACACACACCAGGAGATGTTGCTGAAACAAAGGTTTCGGGTCCACCATGGATCTAACTTTGATCTTGAGTCGATTTTTGACTTAAGATGAATCACTGAACCAACACAGAGACCTTTCTGCTTTGGAAAACACCGAGGGCTTTTAGGGGAGGCTCTTCTGGGGACCCTGTGCATCTGCCTGTGAAGGGACAGAGCCCTGCTCACTCAGCAAGGTGTCACTGGGAGCACAAAGGACAAGGATGCTCATCAGAGTGGAGAAGAGGAACCACAGCACAGAGGCACCAGGGAGCCTGCCTGGGGTTTCACAGCTGGATTTTCTGATAGTTAGAATGTAATTTGTGCCCCTAAGCATCAGCCCAGTCCCTTCACATATTAGGCCATATTTATTTCTCCCTTGGCTGCTTGGAAGAGCCCTGTTTTCTCAATTTACTCCACTTTTCACTGATTTTAATGCCTCAGTTTTGTGGTAGTTGTGTACAAGCAACTGTGACAGCAGTGACTGTGGCTTTATAAGGGAAATTAGAGGTCACTTCTTGATAAACACAGCATGGAGAAACAGCTCTTGAGTGGGGGAAAAAGTTCTTCTCATCTCCCATACCAAATGGGTTTTCTCCATGGAGAATGGGGCATGTTTTGCACCCCTCCTGGCTAGAGAAATGGCACTGGTGGCAGACAAGGTGGCACTGGTGGGAGAACTGCACTGGTGTGTGTGGTGTGGGCTGGCTGAGGGGCTGCTGATCCATCAGCCCCGACAGCAGCCTTAAACTGCACGCAGGGAGAGGTAATAAAAGCTCTGTGGAGTCTCTCAGCAATAGGCTGTCAGCTCAAATTCAGCCCAGGGAAGACAGTGATTTAATGAAAGTCATTACAATCTGCAGGATCTCTTGACCCTGGTGCTCTCCAGCCCTTGCAGCCCCGGGTTGGGTTTTCTCCTCATGGCACTGCCTGGTCCCAGCGTTGGCTGGGCTGGGGCTTTGTGCCCATTCCTGCTGTGTGTCCCAGTGAAACAGAGAAATTAAGAATTAGGAAGCATCAAGAAATGCTTTGACTAAAAGAGGGGGTGGGGGGAGCTAACAAAACCGTGTGAAATGCTCACTGCTCCCACAGACAGAGCAAGGCTACAAGGCAAGGTAAAGAGCTAGAGTGTGCAAACAGGATGCAAGGACAAAGGCACCATGGGATGAGGGGATTCTTTGGACCCCTAAGCCAGGAGAAATGGTGTCAAAGTCCAAAAGATGGTCAAAGGACTAAAAGGAGGATGCACAAGGTGAAAAGTTCAACTGAGAGGAAGATCTCTTACTTCATCCCAAAGACCCCCAGACGACCCCCAGAGTGACCAACATGGAGCAGTGAGCAGCCACAGAGAGGCTTGGAGCTAGCTTTAATATGAAGTGGGGACAAGCAGGGGTAGGAAATGGATATGTATTAGGTGTATTGTGCAACCCTGGTTTGTAGAGAATAAAATGAGAGGGGCAAGTCTCCAGGGTGTGAATGTTTTTGGAGGAGCTATCCCCCATGCTCCTGAATAAATACATACCAGCTCTTATAACTTACTCTGTGGGTTCTAAAGTTTTAGTCTATGGGTTCTAGAGTTTTACTCTATGGATTATAGGGTTTTAATCTGTGGGTTATAGGGTTTTACTGTGTGGGTTTTACTCTTGGGTTACGGGTTTCTTAGGGTTAAGGTTTTACTCTTGGGTTATAGAGTTTACTCTGTGGGTTCTAAGTTTTACTCTGTGGGTTAATTTACTCTATGGGTTCTAGAGTTTTACTCTATGGGTTCTAGAGTTTTACTCTATGGGTTATAGAGTTTTACTCTGTGGGTTCTAGAGTTTTACTCTGTGGGTTCTAGAGTTTTACTCTGTTGGTTCTAGGGTTTTACTCTGTGGGTTCTAGAGTTTTACTCTGTGGGTTATAGGGTTTTACTCTGTGGGTTCTAGAGTTTTACTCTGTCAAGCTGAGCTGGGATAATGCTGTGTATAAAAGCAGGCGGGGAGGAAAGGTGCGTTTATTCCCCCTGGCACATCCCATCCTCCTCCTGGTGTTGGAGTGAATAAACAATCCCCTGCACGGCGCTGTGGCAGGACCGGCAGTCCACGTGACACGAATCCCTACCCTTCAAACTTTAAACCCCCCAGCTTTGCCTAAATTACTTCTGGATTTGTTTTACTTGAGTTTCTGTTTCTTTATAAATACACACACACACACATACACACACATATTATATATATATATATATATATATATATATATATAAAAAACCTTTACCAGCTGAGTTGTGGCAGTGAAAACTACCTGGATACAAGCAAAGTTCTTATTGAAACTCG